TAAAACACAAGAAAACAAAATGGTTGACCAACAGAATATCACAGTAATCTAATCTGCATTGACTCCATTTCAAATGCTCTGTGGCAACATTGGAGAGTTAGAAATGTCAAACACATGGCAGTTTGAAATCAAAGTAGTTCAAATTCTTTTGAATTTAAATAAACTGTATTAAATAGTAAATGTTGAGATGTCATGTCTGCCTTGATTCCCTGAGCTCAATTAGGAGCAAGAATAATCACCTGTGCTGGCTGCAGCAATCATCCACAGGTGAATGAGATCCCCAAATCAGGTTTAAAGGGAAGGAGCATTCACTGTTCAGTTTGCTCTCCAAAGGACAAGACCTGTTCCACCTTTCTTTGCAGAGTGTGTCCACATGTGAGTTATTGTTTGAGCAAATGAGTATAGTGATTATGTTTGTTTATCATGCATAGGCAGACTTTTCAAAACATTCAAGGATGATACAGAGTTACATTCAGACAAAACAAATATTTACAAAATACAATTTCTTCACTTGAAAAATTCTATGAGGAATGTTACACCTTTGTTCTTTCATCATATTAAAAAATTGCAACTTTTTATTCATATTTCAAAATAGTAATTCAATTTGTGGATGTGATACGGTTGCTTTGATGTTAAAAGCAAATAACAGTTTTTCTTTAAATTCTGAAGATGTCACTTGTATCTTGTCTTTGTGAAAACATTGGATGTGCATATTAATCTCAGTACGTAAAGGAAGTAGTTTCTGTTGGAGTCATTGTGTAATTAAAATGTCAACATTAACATTCAGTCTTTCACAGCAACAAATTGATTCATGTCTAAAAATAGCACCGTCTTTTTGTTTGTTTGTGATTGATTAAACGCTGACATAGGGCTGGGCTGCTGCATTTATGGAGGGATGACACACTTTCACACGGTGTACACACACAGAGTTTTCAGCCTATCATTTAGCTCACTGCAAATGAGTCGTCAGATAATCTGCAGGGATAAGCCAGACATCAATCATGAGACGTGGTGTGTTGTAGACTGTGCACATTCAGATCCATCCCGACCTCCCTGCATGTTGTTGAGCAGATCGAACCAATCTGCTGAATAAAAACCAGGCAGTCAGAATTCTGCAGCACCACGCATGGACGCTCAGAAAAACCTTCAGGGCGCCAAGAAGCTGGAAAAGAGACTTGATTTTTGAACACAGATACTTGATCAAACTTGACATGTTGTTGATCAGTCTTGTCAGTGAATGGGGAATAAAACTCAAACAGAGAAAAGGAGAACAGGTGCATCTTTATTTTGGTTAGAGTGATGGAGTGTGCTCAGTAAGATGAGTCCAGGTCATGTAAACTTTGTAGTACAAACTGCTACGCTGGTTCCATTTAAGAGTCCTCAGCTAAATATGACAATGTAGTTTCATGAATTGTAAACTAATTTCTCACACATGGTGTTTCTGCAAACTTTTTCTGAATAAAAAAAGCTGGCACTCATGGCTGTATGAGACTTTCTCAGATTTAACATGTGTATGATGCAGTGTAAGAGCTGGATGGTGCCTTGTTCCTCATTAGTAGCATTGTTCTGCTTCAAAACTTGTGCTAAGTTTAATGATAAACAGTGACTTGAGCTGCTCTCATGCCTCCTCCCTCCCCTCCCCTCCCTTCTTTCATCCCCCCCCTCGTCTTTCTTTTCTAATTTCTCATCTGAGCGAGCGCAGCGCTGCAGCTGACATTTAACTGAGAGATAACATCTCACCGCTCAGTCTGATGCGAAGGTCTCCGAGGGCTCAGATGACTTCAGCTCTCAGTGATCAGAGTTCTCCTGCTCTGGGCATCTGTCCACCCATGGCTCATCCCACACTGAGGTGGAGGAGAGAAGAGACCCAGGAAGGGAAGATGATTAACTTCACCCTTAAAGAAGCCTGCAGCTATGGGCCCTGTTGGTAAACACTAATAACTATAGAAAATACTTAAGGCCCTCTGTGTGAGATCTATGGAGGGAGCAAGTCCTTTTCACCAAGTTAGCCATGTTGAGACACCTTGATTCTATGGGGCACAAACAATGATCACACATTTGCTCTCTTTATCCTTAGTCTTGAGAGTTTCTTGCAAATTTCTGTAAACTTTCCTTAAAACTCTCTCATATCCTGTAAGCTACCAAATCCCAACTTTGTCTAAGACACATCCCCTGCAGGCAGTGAGATATACACATGCTGTATGTAAAATGTTAAGTTGTTAAGGCATCACTATGGCAGCCTGTATATTGTATGCAAAGGGAGTAATACAGTATATATTTTCATCCAAATTTGTTGGCAAAAGGTTCACAGACAGCTGATGAGTTTTGTGTGAAAATCTCTTCAATTCCCCCAAGGACAACAATTAGTTGCCCAAAAACTCAGTTTCCATATTATCCTGGGATAGAAATGCAGCGCCTCAGGCCAGCTCAGAGAGCCAAATCACAGAATACTACAATGTAGTTTCACACAATATCCCTCCAGTCAGACATCCAATGTAAACCTGAGAAACAGCCTAATCTAATTATACACAGAAGATTTAAAGATGCTGGATTAAATTTGGAGTCTAAATCATTTGGCTGCAGCAGTAAATCCCTCTCTGAAAACAGCAAAAAAAAGAAAACTGTAATGGGATCAATGCAAAGTGATCCTGTGTGGGTGTGTGTTTGCACAGAATTATGGGTTATATTCACAACGAGCTCTTGCTCTGGTTTGTCAGCATTAGTTTAGATTAAAATCCACCAACCATTTGACTACAGACAGCCTCTCTCACGCTCAGAATATCCCATATCAACATTTATTGAAAGCGCCAGCTGTAATCTTGAATGAAACATCAGAACACCTCTGGGCTGCATGGGTGAGTTCTTTGACATTTGCACAGGTATCCCAGTTATGGTTGTGTTTTTGTATGTTTGTGAATATTCTTCACATCAGTGGACACCAAAAGATTTGATTTAACAGACACAACTTGAGTTTATGTAATTAAATCCTGATAGCAGGCAGTGAGAAAATACAAGGGTTCTATATGTTAACACTGTAATGGTGGTGTTTGTTTCTGACTATAGAAACATTTCAAGTCTACATCCATGAACAATTGAAAAAGGTTTAACTTCAAGGATCCTGGGGCATAAACTTAAGAACTTTAACTTGGACATTATCTGATAAGAGTGTCGAGGCTGAAGTGAAAAAAGTATGTACCAGAATTAAATGTATGACATTATCTGCATGTACTGACCTTATGATTTAAAGATTATAATGTCACACGTGCTGCATGTTGCCATGACAACTAACATGAAAGACTGTGCATTAAATGTCATGAGGCTGGAAATCATTGATGTCTCTTTTAGGTGTGAAAGGTTGGGTTCAGAGAGTTCAACAATATTAGTCAAGACTGTTATAATGACCTTTGGTTTAGTGTCTCAGTGTTTCTTTCTTGCATTGTGTGGCAGGCAGCTGTTACTTAAACCAGAATGAAACAGTCAGCCACCCTCCATAATATGAATTTATATAAATAATATCAAAGGTTTAAAAAAAACATTTCAGCTCTAAATACGTCAGAGGATAAGCAGCCTGCAGTTGTTCTGACACTTTCACCATAGGGACACACTGCACGCCTGAGCGGTGCGTGACGGCTGCCTCACTGAACTACTGCTTTGAGCTCACCTGTGTGTGTGTCACCTGTGTGTGTGTCACCTGTGTGTGTGTCATCTGTGTGTGTGTCACCGCCACCGAGCACTGCTCAGGCTTGCAGTGTATGTCAAGAAAGTACAGTTGGCGCTGAAAAGAGCAGGAACAAATGTCAACAATGTTGTTGAAGCACGCATTGTCAGTCACGTCTGTCCACCGATTAACACAACTTCTCTCTCCCAATGGCATGTCAGTCAAACAGGCAAATGACGTCACGCGATGCAAAGTGTTGAAGCAAACTGACTGATCTCAGCAGGATTTGATTTGTAGGCAGTGAAAGGAAAAGGATGGTGAAACAAAATAAATAAGTGTTAAAAAGTATAAATGACCTAATGCATACATCTGTTGCATTACCGTGCACTGCTGCAAATGCACGTCAACCCATCAAATACTCCAAGCAGCACTCCATGTGTACACGCATTGTGACTTTGCTATGTGAAGATCAAAAACATTAGAGCCCTCTTAAGTACATTACGAAGAAAACATTAAGCCATCTGTCATACATTTAGTCCATTAGGAAATGTTTCTAGTGCGATCAATGACGGGTGGCTTCTGCTGCCCCCTGGTGTTGGAGAACTAAAAATAACAAGTGTTCAGCTGTCAGTCAAAGTCAGCTGGTTCTGATGGTTTGGGTGTGTGATTGTAAAAACATGTCATTAATGCATTAATCTTTTGATGTCCACTTATAGCCTCCTATGTCCAGATATCTCTCCACAAGATGTCCAAACCTGGCTCTACGGATTTGCTCCTATTAGAGCATTAGTGAGGTCACACACTGATGATGGGTGATGAGACTTGGCTCGCTGTCATTGTTTCAGATCATCCCAAAGGTGGTTGAGGTCAGGGCTTTGTGCAGGCACAGTTAACAGCAAGTAACCCTTTTAGATTATGTGACGCTCATGCAGAAATGCAGAGAGTGGAGTCAGGCTTTGGGGTGTTCAACAAATGTCCACAAATATTTGAAACTTTTCTTACAAAAGGCCAGCTGTGCAGTTTTGTGAAAGATGGCACGGTTGGAATTTCTTTCACAAACCTCTGCTGTCACGTAGTCTTTTTACCAATTCAAGTCAACACTGTGAATGCCTTCTAGGAAACACTGTCATAAAGCATGCTCTGTCATCAGCTTTTGTTTTATTTATTGTGAAGAGACAACAAAGACATACATAAAGTCCAGAGAGAGAGAGAGATCTGAAAGGCAGAGGAGGAGCCAGGAGGCTATGATGTGGCTTTGTTTGAAGCGTACTGTAAAGCCTTCAGGCTTTTATTTAAAAATATACTGTATATATACAAGTCAGGAAAAAGATAAAGTCCAAAATATTCATTAAAAAGCTTTATTTAAAAACTGAGTCGGCAGGAAGAAAATATGAACATTGCAAGAAGCAGCAACTTGTGTTACAAAGTGCTCAGTCAGTCATTTGTACAGTGAGCATGGGTTCAATAAATGACAGAAAACATTGTGCAACCTAAAAACATGACAAAAACACTCTTCAACCGTTTAGTTCTGGGTTCTTAAATAAAGAGTTTACATTAAAATAAGAAGGAAATCATCTTTAGAAAAACAAACATTTTTCATGTCAGTAAGTCATCAGAACATGCCGATGAGTTGTCGAATTAGGACTTCCTGTGTTACGATGTGCTTTTTCCTCCAGTTAGGCTCAATAGATCGATTGAACCAGCATAAACATTATTGATTTGTGTCTTTGGCCGCTGACACAGGGTCACAGTAACGCAGGCAGGAACCTCTGCAGGCAAGACACTGATGAACAACACTGATGTTCTGGTGCCCACGTACATGTTAAGTACAAGAGTTGTCTGATGCTATGGCTTCGATTCTACAAAAATCCCACTCACAGTAATAGTTATCATCATTATTATCAAAACTTGGAAGATTCTGCCAATCAGCTTTTATAAGAGAAAGTTTAAAATTTTTGTATCAAGACATAAACCAAACATCTGAACCCTGCAACCTCGATTTGTTCAAAAAGAAAAAATACTCAACAAGATTTTGTAAAACAACCTTTATAATCCAAATGTACTACTTTAAGAATTTTAGGTATTTAAAATGAAGGATTCATTTTCCCAAATTCCCTGTAAAATAAAAGCAATAATAAGGCAGCAATGGAAAATAACAAGAATAAGAAAAGACAGAAGTGAGCTCACAGCGCAGCCTGATGAGTCACTTCTGATCCTTTATGCTGAGTGACTAAAAATAGAGGAAATTATATGGAAAGTGACCTGAACATTGCATTCAAAGTTCATTAGTATAATCACACAATTCTTTGATAATTTTTTTCCAAAAACCAAAAGAGAAAATCATGAAGCACAATACAAAACTCCTTTTCATACATATGAAATTGTTTTATGAAGAGATACATTTAAATGAAATCTGAGCGTTTTGAGATACTGGTATGAGTATTAAAATAACTTTTTTATTTATTGTCTGTGTATTCAAAGCCTGGTATGTCTGATTCCTCCCATGTTGTCTGAAAAGTATTTAAACACATTAATGACGCCAACTTTTCAACTTGGTGAAATGTCCCTTTTCCTTTCTCTTTTTTTTTTAAATGAACACACACACTGTAGTTTATTAGGACTCAACCCAGCACACACACAGACACACACACCATTCTCAATCAGGTAATACTCACATTAGCAGAAATGAGTATATCAATCAATCACACAAAATAGACCCCAAACAAGATCTCCTACTTCCTTCTTCTTAACTTATGTTTACTACAGTTAAAATTAAAGTGCCCTGCTATTTTTAAGGTCGTTGAGCCTTTAGCCTCGAAGAGTGACATTTTACTTTTGTGCGTGTTTTTGATGATTTACATCTTCATGTATAAATCAAAGGCCTTGGATCTCTAGTGGCTCTAACAGGCTGGGTAAGCTGAAGTATCGAGAAACGGACTAATACTTAGTATTATAGTAGTAACTCGTGTAGAAAGCAGTGAGAATATTGCACCCATCAAACTAAATCCAAACTGGTGTAGAGGTTGATTTTCTCTAAATGATTAAGCCTGCTTCCTCACCACTTCTTGTCATATGTTAGATGGCTTTAGTTCTTACGAGCATTTCTAAAGAATAATAATAACAACAATAACAATAATAAAATCCCCTCTGAAGCCTTTTTTCAAGGCAGCATCATGTCTGAAAACTTTGTGACAGGATGCACCAGGACAGCTGGAACTCCTCCTTTACTGATTTAGTCCGGTTTGAAAGCGGTCACATTAACACTTGATGTTTATAAAGAAACATACTAATATATATTTAACACAGCTCTGTAATGAATTCCCTCATTTAATCATAATTTCTTACGCACCAGGAATTAATATGGTTTAATAAACTGTGAAATTTCACAAATGAGCTGATTTCATGTTGCAGTGCAGATGTTCTTCACACATCAAAGCTTCTTTTAAATCATTTTGATAATCAGGATATCTAAAAAATTAAATAAAATCAAAAGAGATTGCAAAAACAGAAAATCACTTCATTATCAGAGATCCATCTTCAGAAATGTTACACTGCTGATGCTCGCACCTTACAGGACTGAACTCAAGAGTCTCAACAAGGTGCTATTCAAGGAGGCGCCACATGTCTGCAGCTGCTTCTTAAATATCACAACACGGATGGATTGCTATGAAAATTGCTGTGAAATTATGTTCCGCAGAGGATGAATCCTTATTACATTGTGGATCCCCTTCCTGAAATCTAATTAAACACTACCATGAGGCTCACATTTGACACATTGCCGTGAATTAATCCAAGAAAAACCCACCATGTAAGAACAAAAGTAGTGATGATACAGTAAAGCAGTGTGCTTATAACAAACTTCCTGACATGATGGCACAGGGCTTTAAGACCAGAAATGTACTGTAATGTGATGAGTCATCATCCGACACTCATTCAGAATTAAGTAGACAAGTGAGAAACAATTTACACAAAAATATGCACAGCCGTATTAATTCATCACCCACCCATCCAATGTGAAAATACAACTCTGAACTTTAACTTTCACTCATAGCACTTCACACACTTACACCACTGATACAGCAGCAATTCAAACAAACAAAACAATAAAACAACCGTAGCACAATACAGTTCAATAGGCACAGCAGAGCATTGGCAAATGTAGTGCACATTCAATGATGCAGTTCAGTATATGGCTCTCTGTCTGACAGTCTGTGTTGACGTCACTGCAGAAAAACAAAAAAGATCTTTTGGATGGAAGCATTTAAAAGTGATAAAATAAGCAGAATAACAGGATGTGGGTCCCGGCACCTTTTAAAAAGAAAAAAAAAAAAAAGCACCGAGAAGTTCTGTCCTTCAAGCTGTCAGAGATCGCTAAACAGCAATGACTCAAACTCACTCACTGGAGAAGACAATTATTCCACAACCTTCATTTCTTACGCAAGTCGCCCATGATAGGAGGATGAATCAAAGGATGCATGTGTAGTGTCACAGATGCAGGGAATGGTTATACACAGTGGGTTTAAATTGATCCTTCACAGACTGCACTGCAGCTTTGATTACTATGTCTTCATGTAATGTCAAACAAGTGCAAATAAAACTAAATATGATCAAATCCAGGACGAGTCTTTAACTGGGTAAGTCTAGTGCATCTAAACTCACTTACAGAAAAGAATACACCTCCATGAAAACATGTTAAATAAAAAAACCTTCATCAACTGACCGGGGAAAGGTGACTGAATGATGTTATTGTGAGAACAGTGTAGATTAATAAACATTTAGAGTTCATTCATTTATTAGACTGTTTATATCTCTTACTTTTAAATCTTTAGGCTCGACTTTCCCTCCATCACTGCTTCACTTTAAGGAAAGAATTGAACTATGAATTAGAACTGACTTCCCTCTAGCAGCCCATTGCTTGTACAGACTTAGGCTGGGACCAAACAGGGTGCAGACATTCCCAAAATAAACAGACTTATAAATACACCTTAACCCCTTTTTGTCATTTCTGTACACGAGCAGGTACACTGAGTGTGGCCACAGGAAATGATTTTCAAAAACAATGCGTGATCCCTCCACCACAGCAATCCATTCAAACATAAATGAAGCTTAACATGCTCCACAGATTTCCAATATTGATTAGTGCACCCAATACACTGGTGAATCAACTGAAGCAATACGTGGATGTCTTTACAGCCATGACCCTGGGATGTGAAGTGTGCTTCAGGGTTTCCAGACAAGCACAGGGTGAAATCATTGTTGTTTCCACATTAATAAATACAAAATACAACCCCATCACCCAAGAAATATAACCCTCCCACTGCCTCCTCTCCGGTGTCCTGTAAGTCCCAGCTAGTTGGACTGGATAAAATAAAGTGATTTTTTTTTTTTTAACTTAAGAGACCAGCTCTTACATGAACCTTTTCCTTAGGAAAGATAAAGAAAAAGGAAAATATGGACATAATAATTCCCTCCACATGGACATATATCACAGTACAGGTGGACAGCAAAGATCTGGTTTCTGCTCAACACAGCAGTCCAGCGTGGAGAGTTTCTTTGCTCCTGTCTGAAGGCCATAACAGCGTTTGACGCACACCGGCTGGATCTTTACAGACAGCTTCTGTGAGAGGTGATATCACTTTGGTGGAGAGGGCCATATGGGGAGAGGATGAGCCTCTGTGTTGAAGATAAACTTGTCTAGGCTGAGCTGCTCCATGTCATCAGAGAAGAGCAGGTACAGGTACTTCAGTGTCTCACCCAGGAAGAAACTCTCCATCTTGTCTCGGGGTCCGGGGTTGGTGGGGTCTCGGACGTTGTTAATGGACGTGTAGCCTCCATCAAGCACCTGCAAGATGGAGTTATTTGGTTATTGGTTTATGGATACAAAACTCAAGAAAGTGCACTTGATAAGTTTGACACTCTTTTTACTTCGTTCAGGCGAATCATCTTTAAAGCAGAAGTATGCATTGTGTATTAAGGATCAGGTTCTTGCTGAGTTAGAAAAATGCAACTTCTTCTGAAGTTGCATTTTCTCTTCTCCCCCCCCCCCTCCTTGAGTCCCTTGAAGGCGCTATATACCGTACATTCAAGTTATCATTATTATAATTATTGATTGCAAATTCATCCCCTTTAGACGTAGTGAGGTCTGAAGTCATGTCGGCTGTGGAGTGTGCTGCCTGTACCTTGGTGTAGTTATTGAAGCTCTGCAATATGTCCCATCCCCAGTCTCTGTACTTGGTGTCCTTAGTGAACCTGTACATGTAGAACAGACTCTCCACTGTCTCTGGTCTCAGCAGGTTGTGTCTGTCTGCAGGCTGCAAGATAGGAGAAGGACATATCACACACTTTCTTTTTTTAACCTCAACCAATTTCAATTCACAGAAAATGACTTTGAATCTAATCAAGGAAGTATCATCAATTGGCGTTTCTGCCGTTTAAAGGGACAGATACAGAATTTAAAAGTACGACTGCTAGTAAGAGACAGACCCAACGTAGTCTTCGTCAGGACACATCCCTATGTAATAAAGGATGATTATATTGCATCAGAATTTTAGTTTAGACTGCCATTTCTTCACAACAACATATATTTTGTAATAAACAGTCATTGATTTATAAGCTATTTGACTTTCTGTCCCCTATTCTTGAGGAACATCTGATTCCGCTACATGTTTTGACCCAGTGCAGCACTCGCTTCAACCTGATTTCTATTTTCCACAAACTATAAAAGTAGATTAAATTTGATCTTATGTAAGTAAATGTCTCCTTATGTTTAATCCTTACTGTTGGTGAGAGAATCTATCTTACTAACATCTACTGACATGACATTAATCATTTAAAGATATTCAACCACAGGACAAACACATGTCTCCGACCGTGGATGTTTCATTTCAAACTACTCACGGCAAATAAATGAGTGTAGCCTTTTCAATCTGAAATTCATTTCCTTAGCTGTGAGTCCTGGAATGAGAATGAGCTCCTGAAATGTTTGAGATATTTCCTTCTTCTATTGCAGGTTAATGGAGGCAGTGGTTGAGATGAGTACAGAGATATTGGATCCTTTAAAAAACTCAGAGCAGTCAATTTAAAAGAAAATGAGCACCGAGGAGGGTTAGGAAGGTTACACTCAAAAGTCCCACGATAAATTTAGACTGGCTGATTAAAGTTTGATTCAGCAGACTCCCTCATGAGACTCTCTTACTCATTTAGCTTATTTCATATAAGAGAGCGTGCATATACAAGGCACTCAAAGAAAGACATTTCATTACAGAGACATTTGAATGAGAGAAAATGTTTACTCATGTCACTTTTATTCTTTTTCTCATTGCTTAACCCTCTTTGAAGTCAGTTTCCTAGCAGAGTATTTTAAGTTTCTGAAGGTCGTTTGAGTTAAATTTGGATAAAACAATAGCACTGCACTCAAATAGAGATAAAGGAATCAGATTTGAAAAAAAAGAGTATATAAAAATAAGAAGTAAAAAGATATTGATAACAGATCGCCCTTATACAGGAGAAAACTTCAATGTCAGGTATCTGCTGGGATCCTCACCTTGACAATAATGTCCCGGCTGTCACTGGCCTGCAAGCTGAAGTGTACGATCTCTGGGCTCAGTCCGGTCTCCATCTGTGTGTACATCTGATGACACGTCTCCATCAGCTGCACGGCCAGATCCATATGGTCCTCTGGGAGGCCGTTGTGAACCCCCAGTGCTAACGTTCCTGGCAGAAAGCACACCAGGTGGTCCTGTAGTGGACAAGAGAGAGCGGTATAATTGAGAGCGAGACTGAGAAGAGATGAGAGATAATGATGAGCGCTGGAATTGATTCGACTGGCTGGTAGAGAGAGAGACAGAAAACAAGCTCGTTCACGGACTGATCCAACAAAAGCACAAAGACTTATTGATCTAACAAGGCGGTCGTTGTCTGTGGATGGGAGTTCATTGCAGTGTGCGATGTATCCGCTCACAGTTTTTATTATGCTGTGTGTGGTACTTCAAACATGCAGGCCACAAGCACATGCATTTTATGATCCATGCATATTCATCATACATTTTGGATTTAGGGACATAAACTTCAATTGAGCATATCTACCATCTTCGGGTTGAAGCGATTATGATTCAACTCTCCGACAAAGGTCAATCCGTTGGGCCCCGTGTGTCTCACAAGGTGTTTCTTCACTCCTTCTATGGCCTGAAGGTAATCCTCCAACAGGCTGAACAAAACAGAAATGATGACATCAGAATTTATCACCATTATATTACACATACCGACCAATCTGTAAAACTTTGTTATTCATTTTGGAACATGACTCAAGCAATAAATCACTTCTCTGGATGTGACATTTATAAGAAACATGGCAAATGTATGAAACAGATTGCATTAAATACAGGAAGTGGATCATGTAGGAACTTCAGCTTAGTCATTCCGTCTGACTTAGTTCTTATTTTCTTGGAAACAACATTTTGTAAAATTAGAGCAAAGCTTTAGAGCTGCTGCTATACCAGGACGTTGTTTAGCAGAATCCTGTAACCACACAGCTAACTTCCTCACACTTCTCTCAGTACTTTTAAACTTCAATATTTTAAATATGTCTCTGCATCAAGATTTGTTATTATGCCTTTGAATTGATTAATAATATGTTTTATGGTTCTCATGTTCCACCTCTAAATCCAGTGTTTTCACTCCTGATCACCACACATACACTTAGAAAGGTAAGGTTGGAATTACTCTTCTTCTGTCTTGCCTCCCTGGATCCACTGTTTGAGCAGGTACTCGTAGTAGCTGTCTGCCCTGGCGCCAAGCGTGAGGACTCCTTTGTGGCTGAACTGGCCGCTGTTGGTGTTGATGAACATGGGCACCAGGCCGTCGTGTTTGCCTGGAAGCTTGTGGACCAGCCTCATCACCTCATTTGCAACATCCTACAAAGAGAGAAAAACCATCTAGTTCATCTCGCCATGAGATACTGAACCTGAAAGTCCATCTCCACGTACAGCCACTCTGTGGACTAATATGTATGAATAAAAAAAACTGTTTTATCATTCAAAGTAATTTCACCCTTTGTTGAAACTGAGCTCATAGAAAGTTATGTCTGTCTCGCTCAGGTTATGACTTTTTAAGGTTATGTCATATGGGGATGAAAATCTTGAGGTATAACAGTGTTTACAGCTTTCGGGGGGTGAGGGGGGTCACAAGCACTTTAAGGAATATTGGTGTTCATGCGTTACTTTTAATGACAGCTGTCATGTTCTATCGGAAATATATCCTTAAATGACCGGACAGGCCACCCCCCTAATATAATGGTAGAGGAAACACTGTATAAGCTGAATGTTATCTGTGTTAAAGGCTTTATATGCGATTTTTTTGATCCAGCAGATGTCACCCTTGAGCACCAGCATGAAACCAAAACAACTGCGCTGCATTGTTGTGTTGGCATGCTAATGCTAGTGATCTTTATTATGCTGGTATCTTCACACTGCATGTAAATTTACCTGAAATGAGCGTGATCTAGAAACACAGTTAAGCAGTGAGTACAGTATGTTATTCTTCTTTTCTCTAGTCCCTCAATTAAACAACTTTTATACACGAGGGGAGGAGTCAGCTGGCCGTCCGGGCGATGTAAACAAACTGAAGATAGGACTCTGAAAACTCTGAAAACATCACAGACAGTGGGACTCGGGTGTTACACCCATTGTAGACAGTCATGACTCACAGAGTTATTTTCAGAAAATATACTTGATTTATATTATATTTAAGAGTGAAAAATCACATATAAAACCTTGCAGCTCTGGTAATATATCAAATCTGACAACATACGTCATTCTTCTAACTTCAGTCACAATCAAGTGTGTATTTGCTGTACTTATTGTTTAACTTTGACTGAATGGGAAACCTTCAACTCAACCCAGAAAATATTTACATTAACCTGCTCCATCTTTTTTTATGCTCCATCTCACAGCATTGGAAGTAAAGACAGATCATAATTACTGGACACAAACACTACAATGCACCGCTACAGAGGCCCTCATGTACACTGACCTGGTACTGCGGGTCCTGAGTGAGGCGGCTAAGCTCTCTGAATTCCAGCTGAATGCTCGTGACTTCGGCCAGCGTGCTGTCCGTCGTCCATCGAGGGGGGTGAGCTGTTCCCTTCCCGATGTTGACATCTGAGAACGGGATCTTTGAGGGGGTTTTGAAGGCAGGCATCAACCTGGACCCAAGATCTTTCTTCAAGTGGAGAAAATAGGCGGAAATGACTCTTTCTGAATAGTAAGAATAAACTATGTAATGGAATTCTATATCTTCTGCTTTAAATGTTACATCTCTGTAATGTCTGTATCAGCTCTAAATGTTCATCCTAAATAGAGCAGAGGAGGCACCATTAACTTAATCAATTCCACAAAATGATTCAACTGTGGGTTGAATTCTCGTTTCTTTGAATTTGATTTCAAGAAAAAGTGAACGAGCTGCAGGTCTAAAACTTCTGGACATCGTCATCTATGACTCACAGCTTTTTCAAAGAAGAGTTGGTCTCCTGATAGGTGGTAGGCACTCAGCAGTCCCCCAAGGACACGAATAGTTGTTTCAAAAAGATTCACGTCCACGTTCTTGTTGAAGTTGAGCTCATTGTCCACCCAGTTCTTTGCTTCTGCAAATTCTGAGAGAAGGAGGGAGGAGGGACGAAAAGACGTTACAATTTATAGCAATCATTAAACATGAAGATTAAAAAACATTTTATTTAGGAGTTTTGCAAAGACTGAAATCATTAAGTGGTCTGTAACAAATTTTGCAACTGACTGAGGTCCAGTGATTTAGAAATGCACTCCTTACATATAGAGTTGGACTCACCTTGGACCGTAAAAAAAAAACACATTTTCAATTTAAAATTGTAGCAGCATGTAAAGATTCTATTTTTTTGTGCATTATTCTTCCTTGTCAAAACTTGAACCTTCATTACCCAAAATGGAACTCATCAGCTGACAGGTTGTCTCATGTTAGTAAAAACTAATGTAGCCTTGAGCTGCAAGTTCAAAGCTGATTTAAGGAGTGTGCAGAGCAGTGTTATGTTTGCTCTAGAGATGCACTGATTGCAATTTCTATGGTTGATTCTGATTTTCAGTTTTTTTCAAGGTCTGACCTGCAGATTCAGATATTGACCAATTCCAATTTTCTTTCTTTAAGGAACTATAATTGACAGCAAACACAATGGTGTTCAGTAACCTTTCTTTAATGGAAATGTTTGGGCCGTTTGGCCTTTATTGGATAGGACAGCTGAAGAGTGACAGTAAATGTTGGGAGGAGAGAGAAGGGGTATGACATGTAGCAAAGGGCAGAGGTCGGATTCAAACCCAACGTCGCTGCAATGAGGACTATTGCCTTTGTACATGGGGCGCACTACATAACCGTTAGGCTATCCAGCAGCCCGGAAATGTCATGACCATCTCTTGTTCTCACTCAGACAAACTCAGAATAAGGTGCTCTACGACACTGGACAAAGCTTTCTGAATGCAAATAATGGCAAAGACATTATCTTTAAGTAACAGATGATCCTTTTATTATGAACCACAGCTCAACATCTTATCTCTATATTGGTATCATGAAGAATTACTGACAAACTGTACCTTCCTTAAGGCCCAAAATCCACATGGTGTCCAGGGAATCAATGAGTGTCAAACCCAGTCCGAACCACTCGCTGAAGGACTTGGAGATGGGCCTGAGCTCATCGTGACCCCAGGCATAGCTCTTATAGCCTTTCCATGCATGTCTGAAGGCATCTCGTACTGTCTCCAGTCTGTCCACAGGGCCAGGGGAAACTACAGACAGAAGAATGAATCAGAAATGAAAGTGTGATCATAAAAGGCAGGAGATCTTCCTTAATAAGATTTACAGTAGAGGGAATATTCTCTGTCATTTCTCTTTAAACACAGCAAGGTGTTGCCCTGCATCTCATCAGACTTACAGTAGAAAAAAGGTGTTGGGCTTTAAAGAGCATACACCAGCAGACATGGATAACACTAAGTTACAGAATCTGTTTGAGATCAAAAAGTTTCTCAGTGGACCCAAAAAGTAAGAAAAGTTTCTGGTGTTCATCAGTTGCACCAGAAAACAGCATAAAAAGAAGAATTGTTAGTTTTCTTTATTTAACTTCATTGTAAAGTTGAGCTATTTTGGTTTCAGACTGTTCAAGGCATCTTTTACACGGTGTGTGGATTATGATTTAAAAAAAAGAAACAACATGACGAGTAATTTATAGGTGCAGAAATTCCAATGTGTCATGTTCACTCACTCTTGGAAAGAATTCTGGGTTCAATAGTTGAGTTCAGTTTTCTTTATTTACCTTCAAGTGGAACAGAGTCAGCTGGGTTCACTGGGGCTGGGGGAGCTGCAGCTCCTTTGTCATTGGCCGAGGGGGGAGGTTCTGTGGCTTGGTCGGCTTCAATCATTGCTCCTCTCCAACTGCATGACAAACGCAAAAAAACCTGTCTTACACCTGAATTATTTATGACTGCCTCTTCAATACTGCAACAAAGACCACAGGACCTGGGTGCAGGTGGAAAATGATTACCATCTTCACAGCAAAATCTTGTTAATTTGTTTATTACTGCACAGTTGTGTAAAGGGTTAAACTAGCAAGAAACCAACTGATCACCTGACTATTTTCTTGTCTTTGTCCTCCTCCTCCTCCTCTCCTTCATCTTGAACCACCTCTTGCTCTTTCTTTTCTCCACCGACTGTGTCAGACATATTTCCTTCTTTCTGGAGACTTGGTGGACCTCTCTTGTTGGAGAACAGATATTTCTATTAAAAACAAACAAACAGCTACAGTTAGAAACATATCAGACAATTTTAAAACCTTATGGAAATAGTGGCCATTGGGTCTGTTTGAGTAGCAGACAAGAAAACATTAACAAAGAATTGGAGTCACCAGTGATGGATGGACCTTTTCACAAACACAATAGATACATGAATAAAATGTAGAACTACAGCTTTTCAAATCCATGATCCAGACAAAGTCACAGCAGATTATATTTGTTTTGATGAATTTGTTTTGTTTTCTGTGACTCTGATTGTGTTAATTGTCTGTGATCTGAACACAATGTGCAATGTGACATATATCTGCAGTAATAGTAGGCCTATTTCAACATTCTGCTAATTAATTGGAGTTGGAAATAATGCTTAAAAAAACTTTTATGATTTTTGTCTTACAAAAACACCTCTAACCTTAATGGGAGGTTTGGGCAAAATAGGTACAATTGGTCCTCTGGGCTCCACCACAGCATCTGGACGGATCACTGGACCAGCATCTGGACGGAAAACTGGACCCGCATCTGGACGGAAAACTGGACCCGCATCGGGATGGATCACTGGACCCGCATCTGGACGGAAAACTGGACCTGCGTCTGGATGGATCACTGGACCCGCATCTGGACGGATCACTGGACCCCCATCTGGACGAATCACTGGACCCGCATCTAGACGGATCACTGGACCCGCATCTGGCCCTACAGCTGGCCCCACATGTGGCCCTACCACAGGTACCGGAGCTTTACCCACATGTTGTCCCAATACAGGCCTCACAGCTGGAAGAACAGCATCCAGCTCTCTGTCATTCAACTCCAACCATTCGTCCCTGTCAGACAACCCTACACACAGACACACAGGGAAACACAGACACACTAGGAGTGAACAAGAAACATGTCAAGATATGTCCATCCTATGTCCACTGCTTCAAAAGCTTTAAATCAATTGTGAATCAAGCATTTTCTAAGAAATGACGTGACATTCATTACAATAGACTCTTCCCTGTGATCACCACAGAAGGCTGTCTTCCTATATAACTCAGCCCCTGACTGAGTCCTAACAGGCATATGGGAAATCAGTCTTTTCCAAGTTTCCGTTATACTTAAAAGCAACTTGTATTTGGATTTATGTACTCGAGGGAGCGATTTTTCAGAGAGCTCAGTTTGGTTGTGAAAATATCCTAGTGCATTCAATAGAAACCCCCGACGGGGAAAATAGAAGCATTTTCAGATTTAGCAATCTGACTGTGGATGTGGTCTGAAAATGAAATGCTGTACGGGTAGAAGTATAAAACTGTTAAAGCAAGCAGCAGGTGCAACTAAAATGATCCCAAATTGAATCTAAACAAAGAGAGAAATATTCAAATCGTCTCATAGAGAGATTAAGTGATTTACTGCAATACAGCCTCGCCACAAAAACACAACACACAGTCAATCTAACTCATCAGAATCAACTAGTCATGTAGCAATACCGTTAAATTAATGGCAGACTGAGTCTCTGCCAGCATGTGTATTTGCATGTGTGTATGTGTGTGTTGGCTCAATGTGTATGTGGGCATTATTTACCTCTCCACTGCTCGCTGAGGCTGGGATAGGAGAGCAGTCCAAATATGAGCAGCAGGGCCAGCAGAAACAGGATCAGGCTTCGCTGGAGCCGAGACAGCTGCTTCCATTTCTGTAGGCAGATATAGCAAATAAAGAGCTACACACAAACACGAGCATCTACCAGCTGATTTTAAAATCCATCACCCTCTTAAAAACATGTAAAAAAATCTTTAAAACAGCAGAGTGTAAGGAAAAGTCGGCTGGCCTTCCTTGTTAGGCTTACCCTGAATAAACGCCACATCTCGCTCCACCTGACGGCTCACAAATAAACATTCGCACCCAATCAACCGGAGGTGCAGAGGGAGGGACAGAGCTGGGGTCTCTCAGGAGAAAACGCTAACAGGCAGAGACTGTGCTACCTGTACTAATTAACACCGGTGCAACACCGAGAAACTATTGAGCCATTCTCTCTGAGCTGTGACGGAGCACACAGCAGACTCTACCTCAGGGGACTTTTCGATTTCACTTTGCTAAATCTCATTCAACACAACAACTTCACAAACATCCTATTCAATGTTCAGTCTTTATAAACTTTGTATTTGAACTGTGCATAGAATTATCAGAACATCAAGTCTTACAATAATGTTCCTCTTTTGTACGCATGTCACTTAGGGCTTTTCTCCAACAATATGCATGTGAAGAGCAAATCCTGGGCTTTGTTGTAACGCTGTATGGCCAACAGAGACTCTTTTGTCTTTTCAAAATGACTGGTTTGGCAGTAAACAGTTTTTATTGTCGTGAGAGAACTTATACATTTGAAAAGCTTTGTTCTAATATTAATACGTTTGTTTTGTATTATATGAGATGGTTATTGTCTTAAGATTTTAGAAGTGTACTGTACGTTTTCAAGCCCTTCCAAATACACATCCAATGGTTATCTTTATTAATTCTTAACTGTAGGCTTCAGTTTATTAATTGATAAAAAGGCTGACTATATAACACAAATATCAATAGTGTTAATTTCCTACAATGTCTGAAATTAAACGATTAGTCTAAATATCCCTTTGAATACAGTCCTCCTTTGATTCAAACTAAGTTATATTTTTTTAATTACTGTAAATAGTTTTTTGTAAGTTTAAGGTTTTATCTGGAAACTAGTAAAACAAACCACATTAAATGGTTTACTTATCAACACTGTTAAAAAAGGTTTACACTGTATGCCAAAGTCTTCTTTAGGTCATGGAATTTGCACATGTTGTCTCATGACCTGAAGCATGAAGTGTAACTGTAGTAAGGTGACGACAGGTGTCACGTCATATCAGGTGTCCCACGACAACAACAGAGCAGATGCCTGTGAGATGAGGGGAACTTTCTTCGGCGAGAACTAGCAGACAATGATATATTTCCTCTTTGTGCACTGAGCTGGAGGAAAGGAAACTCACTCTGCAGGTTTGCTGAAAACACACACACACACGCGCACACATGCACACACACGCACACACGCCAATGAAAGTTCCAGAGCTTCACCGGATGTGCATGTCTTTGGAAATACTGAACTAAACCAACGTGCATATGGTTAAATCCTGTAGAGAGATATCTTAAAGCGGTTTTAATCTCTTTGTGACTTTCCGTTGAAATAAAGGTGATATACATTATAAAGATGAATGTGTGTTTTCTGCGGTGTAAGAAGAAACGCTGAGCCAAAAAACCAATCTAAGGAGCATGATTTGCAGAGAACAGTTTTCTCAGGGACCATAAAACGTCATCAAATTTGACGACCCACATGTACAGGGAGGGTTCTGAGCCAGATTGAGGTCTCTGCTATAAAGCTGGCCTTGTAGACCAAATGTCTGTTGATATACTGCAGAAATAAAATGTTACACATCAGTCGATAGGAGTGCTGCTATACCTTTTCAATTCAGTGAAACCAATGAATTACATTAATGTGAGCTGACAAAGCTGTTTTGCTTTTTTGAAGAAAAAAAAAAGAACAATAGAAAGAATCCTACAAAATGATCAAAGAGGATTTTTGATCTCATGGTGTTATCTGCAGATTCTAAGGAAGTTACATTAAAGTTCTGTTTTAAATACTGATAACAGTTGCATACCAGTTTTTGGACTGAAGGTGTGTGCAAACATAGACAGGAACAGATCTTTAGAGACATAACTGAATAATTTTGAGGCCACACAGAGGGTTTGAAAACTAACGGGAACATGCTCCAGCTCCAGCACAATACAACATCAAATTGATCTTCTCTTAACCTGTGCATACAGCAATGATTTCAGATCTTCTATTACATTCATAAATACTGTTGCAATTCCAAACGTCCTCACATAAGATCAATATGTCAGTGTCATGCAGCCCATGAAGCATATAATCACATAAAACACTAGTGTTCAGTGCTGTACAGTATCCTTTATGAAAACACATATTTAAATGTTTTTAAAGTATTTATGAATGTCTCTACTATTTCATGCTATAGGTATGAGGTTAGATCTTTATGAAACTGGAGATAGGTGGCTTATTGGTAAATATTAGAAAATTATAAAATATCTAATAGTCTGCATTAAAATGTCTGTATACTGAAAGCATCCCTTTAAAAAACATCTATTTTATGGCTTGGTTATTGCACCTTAACAATTCACTTCAATACTCTGGTGGATAGGACCAAACTTGGCTGTCTGCATATGTTACCAGAATCCCTCAAAAGAACATTAATGAGTGAGGCTTATGTTTATCGCACACACTCATGTACCTGCCATATTTTTCTATGCATATACACAATGAACTAATGCCCTATTGCCCAGTGTTGATGGATTTCACACTCTAGAAAAGCATACTTTTTATCTCATTCTCTCCCTAGAAATGACCCTCCTGGCTCCTTTTCTCTGATTTCTACTTCCCTCTGCATGGCACATTTTGATTATGTTTGAGGCTAACTCTTTCATGCTCCAAGTTTCGGTCGTCGTGCATTGTACAATTGTACAATTCAGCAGACGCGTTTATCCAAAGCGACAAACATCAGAGAGTAAGTACAACACAAGCAAGGAACAAGAGAGGAGAGAGGAGGAAACATTGCAAGTAAGCGCAAACAAACGGCTTAAAGTTCGATCAGACCCACAGGTGCTGACAGACAGTGCACAGAGGCCAAGCACTTAAACAAATAAATAATTGATAATAATAAAGATAATATGTCGTCTTCATCAACAATAACATCGACAGCTGAGAGTTCTAATCAGCATCAAAACCATCTTGATTACAGTCATAATCAATATCATCATCAAGTGCAGGATGTAAATGATGCAATTGGTGACGTATATATCACACCAATCTTTTAAGGTTTGATGACTGAATCACATGGAAACGTTGCACTTGAGACATATCCATCTTAGGACATCAAAACGATTAAATTGTTACACAAAGTCATCAGTGAGGTTGTAATCACAGTTGTACCAGAATAAAGGGGAAACCGGCAGAAACACTGAAAGCCCCTGAGCAACAGAAAAGCAAACAAAAGTACAAGACATGATATGATAAGTGCAACACAATATACCTGCAAAACCTGAAGATCAAAACCAACAAAGGAGACGAGAGAGGCTCATACTGAGAAGGCATAAGGAGGCGAGAGAGAGGCATAAGACATTTCAAAGTAAAGATAACAAGATTAAAGAAAATGTGAAGAAGACGTAAGAGGGAGACAGGGAGCACTGAATTTGTTTTATCTCACCGCAGTAATCAGACACATAATGTGTTCAGGGGAGGCTTTTATGTGAGAAGTTTGAAAGTTCAGGGCAGGCTGCTTCACAACAAAGAAGAATGTATGAAAGGAAGATTGAAAGCCAGGAATCGATTTGTTACAACAACAAAAAAAAGAAGATGCATTACATCGAGACAGAGATGATATATCTCAGTGAATAGATCAGAAGCATAACCAAGCAAGAGTGTTGACAGCTGAAGACTTTCTGCACACAAAATATAAAGTAGACAGTCAGAGATTAAAAGTTACTTACAAGTAACTTTATGAATTAAAATATCTCAAAATGTAATGCCTATCAATCAAAGATGGGGGACAATTGAAAGGAAGTATCATGTCCTATTAAGATGTGAAACCTTATTAAAGCTTCTAATCTAATAATTGTTCAATTAATTTATTTATGTGATGCTACAGCAGTGATAAACACCATCATTTGAAAAGTTGACTCATTGATGTTTTAATGATTGTAAATCAGAGTCTGTATGAATATGTGGCTCTGAAGTTTCCCAAAGGTGCCTCAGAGGGTAACTGTGACGGTTCAGTGTCACAATACTCTCATAATTCTCATTAGAAATAAAGGTTTCATACCCAAAAATATAAAATAAAACTCATTTATAAAATGTTTTACAAATACAGTGAGGGACAGTTAGATAACTTCAGATCATTCACACAGTACTCTTAATGTAATGTAAACAGTCAATTTAAAGTGCTGCTGGTTGTAAATAATCACTCTATGACCATGCTGCAAAACGCATTCTCCATCTTGCTGAAGAATATAAACCAAAGGAGCCTTTGAGCATTAGGAAGTAGTCAGAGCTGGTAGCACCTTGGGTCATATCCAAACAAGGAGAAGCTGCTTTAAGCTTCTATGCTGGAAATAGATTTTCATGGGACAACACTGAAGAAATGACACTTTGCTACAATGTAAAGTAGTCCGTGTACAGCTTGTATAACAGTGTAAATCTACTGTCCCCTCAAAATAACTCAACACACAGCCATTAATGTCTAAACTGCTAGCAACAAAAGTGAGTACACCCTTAAGTTAAAATGTCCAAATAGTGCCCAATTAGCCATTTTCCCTCCCCGGTGTCATGTGACTCGTTAGTGTTACAAGGTCTCGGGTGTGAATGGGGAGCAGGTTTGTTAAATTTGTTATCACTCTCTCACTCTCATACTGGTCACTGGAAGTTCAACATGGCACCTCATGGCAAAGAACTCTCTGAGGATCTTAAAAAATAATTGTTGCTCTACATAAAGATGGCCTAGGCTATAAGAAGATTGCCAACACCCTGAAACTGAGCTGCAGCACCGTGGCTAAGACCATACAGCGGTTTAACAGGACAAGTTCCACTCAGAACAGGCCTCGCCATGGTCAACCAAAGAAGTTGAGTGCATGTGCTCAGTGTCATATCCAGAGGTTTTCTTTGGAAAATAGACGTATGAGTGCTGCCAGCATTGTTGCAGAGGTTGAAGGGGTGGGGGGTCAGCCTGTCAGTGCTCAGACCCTACGCTGCACACTGCATGAAATTGGTCTGCATGGCTGTCGTCCCAGAAGGAAGTTTCTTCTAAAGATGATGCACAAGAAAGCCAACAAACAGTTTGCTGAAGACAAGCAGACTAATGACATGGATTACTTAAACCATGTCCTGTGGTCTGATGAGACCAAGATAAACTTATTTGGTTCAGATGGTGTCAAGCGTGTGTGGCGGCAACCAGGTGAGGAATACAAAGACAAGTGTGTCTTGCCTACAGTCAAGCATGGTGGTGGGAGTGTCATGGTCTGGGGCTACATGAGTGCTGTCGGCACTGGGGAGCTACAGTTCATTGAGGGAACCATGAATGCCAACATGTACTGTGACATACTGAAGCAGAGCATGATCCCCTCCCTTCGGAAACTGGGCCGCAGAGCAGTATTCCAAAATGATAACGACCCCAAACACACCTCCAAGACGACCACTGCTTTGCTAAAGAAGCCGAGGGTAAAGGTGATGGACTGGCCAAGCACGTCTCCAGACCTAAACCCTATTGAGCATCTGTGGGGCGTCCTCAAATGGAAGGCGGAGGAGCGCAAGGTCTCTAACATCCAGCAGCTCCGTGATGTCGTCATGGAGGAGTGGAAGAGGATTCCAGTGGCAACCTGTGAAGCTCTGGTGAACTCCATGCCCAAGAGGGTTAAGGCAGAGCTGGAAAATAATGGTGTCCACACAAAATATTGACACTTTGGGCCCAATTTGGACATTTTAACTTAGGGGTGTACTCACTTTTGTTGCCAGCGGTTTAGCCATTAATGGCTGTGTGTTGAGTTATTTTGAGGGGACAGTAAATTTACACTGTTATACAAGCTGTACACGGACTACTTTACATTATAGCAAAGTGTCATTTCTTCAGTGTTGTCCCATGAAAAGATATAATAAAGTATTTGCAGAAATGTGAGGGGTGTACTCACTTTTGTGAGATACTGTATTTCCTGAGTCACTTTTATATCTTAATGTATGTCAGTACCTATGAGTGATAGGTTTTCCTACTGCAACTTCATTTTCTTTGTTGCATTAGGAGCACATTACGATATAATACTGCACTGTAGTCTGCAGTTTTTATGTGATTATCTTACTTCTCTTGATTTGATTTTAACCACTTAAATGGGTTTTGTTATTGTAATGCGTTTCTTTGCCTGTGAATTGCTTCTGTGTAAATGGGCTTAATAATTTAAACTGCCTCACCTTTATTTTCAACTTTACATATTTTTTCCACCACTGCAATGAACCATAACTGAAACTACACACACAGATCAGCGCCTTGTGTGATCAAAGTCAAACTGTGACAGTAGTCTTGTGTTCAATATGATATGGAAAGCTCAGGCTTTCCATCACAAAGCTGTAAAACTCTAAATAGAGACAAGTTCTGCACACCGCCCTGCCCTACAGGGCAACTCACCCTCCAGCAGGACTGTCTCCGGTGTTTCCCATTGTTGTAAGAGTGACTGTGCGGATCACTGAGTGTCAGAGAGATGAAGTCCTTTCTGGAAGGCGGATACATCCTCTGATCGGGGTGGACAGTTGTAGGTCATAGAAGCAGCACTAAGAAAAGTGAGAAAATACACACAATCAGCACGACCAAAAAAAGTTCCTAAAGAAATAAGAATTTATCTTTATGCAATCATAGACATTATTTATATAGTAAAATAACTATACAGTACTGGTTCCAATTTTTCAAATGTAAGCCTTTGTCATTTTTGTCTGCACTAAAACATTAAAAACTTGATTGAGTTATTGATTGAGAATTGATGGTCATAAGATGGAAATTGATCTATTACTATAAAAAGGAAAACAAAGTCAAGCTATCTATATCAAGAATGTGTTATTTGACCCATCTGCAATGTTAATTTGTTAACATATATCATGAACTGTTAAAAATGCAGTGTGGAGGCTAGGAATGGACGATGTTTAATTGAAGATTTTAAGCAATCAAGGAAGCATTAGAAGCAGCCTCTCCAGGTTTTTTAAATCCTGAAATTGTTTCAATTTAAATGCACCAAAAATGCCTGTTGACTGCATCTTAATGATTTTTTTAAATGCATGCATGCTCTACAAACTCTATATTTCAAATACATAGGATACATTTCAAATTAAACTTTTAAGATCAATTGAATATATCTATCTCTGTTCAGTACCATGGACAGCTGACAATAACAATGTGTTCTTGCGCAATGCTCTTAACTGAAGCTGCAGAAAACAATGTGAAAACACTTTTCTTTTGGGAAACAAGTAGATAGTAACAATTTGTCTGAGAAATATTTATCACAGACTGCAAATACAAAGAATTTCAAAATAAAGCAGTATAGTGCATACTGTAATTCTGACATTATAAAAGCATGTGCTGCTCTATAACCCATGCAGCTAGCTAGTTGGCATTACATGAATTAATGTCTCTTTCGACACCATTATAGTTTTTATAATTCGCAATAACTACAGATTGATATCAAAGAGCTACATTAGCTAATCTATTACAGCAACGAGCTAATTAGGCTTAATAGGCTTAACTATTATCTTAACCTTAACAACAGCCCTCCTTCTATACATCACAACATGCAGTTCACACTCTATCTCATTAAATACACATCCAGCTGTCTCTGTCTCACCTTTGTGCCTGGCTGGACGTTATTCTCCAACAAGCTAAAAGCTGTAAGCTAGCTACGAGAGGATAGCTTTTCTCTTCCGCTTGTTTCCGTAAGGCGACGTGACAAAGTTCAGTGGTGAGAAAAACTAACAAGTTACAAAGCAGCTCGACTGTCACTCAAAACAACCTGCTGCTCAATGACATGTCAGATAAATTAAACTGGGGGGAAGCATGGCTAAACTTGGCGAAAGAGCAGCCACAGACAGCTGAGACAGAGGCGGGGGGCTGACGATGAGATGACGCGGAACGTCATGTGACGTAAGCACGTTGTTACTTTGAGTGTTAACCCTTTAACATGTTTCCCATGAGCTAAAAATTAATGATATTCCATCTTTTGATACTTATAGTATTCTCTATTTATGGATAATTTAAACCCTTCAATTACTGACATAGTAAATGTTATTTTACTCATGAGTTAATATCATATTCACTGTAGTAAGTGCAGAAACAGCAAACCCTCCTTTGACTGGTTTATAAATGATTCAAATATGTTTTCTTATCTCTAAAAACAATGAAATCTAGCAGGATTGCTAGAAAGATTAGTGCTGACTTATCGAAATTCTTGTTGTTTTGATTTCTGGCCCTTGTTGAATTATTTTGTCCTTGCTCCAGTTTGTTGTCTGCTTACATTTGCCTGATGTTTTCTTTTGGAAAAGTTTGATTTTTATTTATTTATTTTTATATATAATCCCCCTAGTCTTGATTTATGTTTGAATTAATTTGTTCCTGTGTATTTTGTTGTTGTATGTTCATCCTCTTTAAGAGTTTGTATAAACATTTTTTGTATATGTTAAATTTGTCAATAGAGACGGTTAAAAAAAAAAGAAAAAATGTTTCCCATGGATGTATTATAGAAGATGTTTAAGGTTAGATACATCTTAAACTACATCTTGGGAAATAATGGGACACAATAAGATGACAAATAAATAAACACAACTACAGAACACACCTCAAAATACAAAGGGATTTCAATATATTTCTTATATGCGTCTTTATTATAATAATAATAATATCATCCATACTTTAGAATCAGAATCGGGGTTTATTGCCAAGTACATTTACACATACAAGGAATTTGACTTGGTGTATTGGTGCTAAACAATTAACAAGGAAATAAAGCAGAATTAGCAACAACTTAAATAATATAATATAACTATAAATATAGTTATAACTTCCAACTATCTTTCTTTATTACATTTAAAAACTGCTACAACTCCTGCTGTGCTATTAATTCTACTGCTTACATTGCTGCTATTGTTACTACTCCCAAGACTACTGGCACAGTTGCTTCTGTACAGACTGAAAGATTTGAACCACAGGACAGAATGACTGTACCTCTAAACTGGAATTGAAGAACTAAGAATGACAAAATACACTGAGTCAAAACTTAATTATGTACCTCTTTTTAATTAAGCCAACACAATTGTTGAATTAGTTGATGGAGGGATCACACAAGACATATGTCCAGCATGTCATTTCATATAAAAAAGAGACTTTTACAAAACACATGAACAATAATCTGTCTCAGCCAGCTAAGGCAATACAATGGAATGATAATCAGAGAAAGAAGAAAACATGATATATTGCTTCTGTGTAAAAGCCAGAATTGAAAACCTGTGGTCTAGATACAGAACTTTAAACACAGCTTTTCCAGTTGAGTTGAGGATTATGTACATTTATTCCCTGTTATGTAGCACCGGTATGATAAACTTTCAGGCCATGTGGTTCTGTATAGCTTAGTGTATGTAGTTTATCTAAGAAATAAAGTGTTGGTTTTCGAACTGCAAAGCTGCTGTTGTGGCTGAGCAGTAAGACTATACTCTCATCACAAACTCCCTGAGATCTCAGTCTTATGATTCCCTACTACCTGCAGAGTGTACAGCACACTGCTCATCAGTCACTGCTGATTGCATCTGGGCACAAACAACAGATGCTGACTGACTGCTGAAGAACTACAAGGCTTGCTTCTTTTCTCTTGAACCAAGCCCTTTTTAGATTGAATGAAGAAGAAATTCAGGTTGACAGGAGTAACTCAAAGCTAAGCGGGGGGGAGCATAGGTTGTTTTTTTTCCACCAGGGGTCCAAGGAAACTCTGCAGGGCTTATCCAAACTTGTTCATGACCTTTAGTGTCCAGTCAAAGAAATTGAACGTGATGAAATATGTGCACCTGTAAGCTCTGGATGCCAAACTTCTGTCTTTGGTTTTCCAAACATTGAGCACGCTACACAGCTAAGTAACAGCTGCAGCTCCTGCACAGGAAGATATTGAAGCAATACAGTACAACCAATACAACATGGGCATTTCATATCCTCCCCCCCATTTTTTAAACTCAGGATTTCATACTTTTAGTAACTTAATGTGTTCGGATAAATGCGCAGTCCTTTCTCAAAACATTTGTCGTAGAAGCAAACGATTGTGAAACAGGACTCAGGAGTTGTAAGCACATTTGTTAGTGACTATTTTCAGCTGTGGATTAATACATGATTGGTGTTTTACATGTACAGTAACCCGTATTTATAGTAAGAGGATAGTGTCTTTACACTAAAACAAACCAAATTGTGTGTAATGAAAGTCTGTTTTACAATTCTTTGACAACAAAGTCAGTCTTTGGTATGGAGAAAAGATATAGGAGGCTTCAGATATACACGTCATACTTGTTGGTAAAACTAACTCATTGGTGATTTTTGTCGTTCTTAAACATTCAAAATTTCTGATCCTAATATTTATCAAGTCTCTTTTTAATTCAATAAAAAAGACCTCCAAAAAACTGCAAAAACAGCAGAATAATGACCCATGAGTTTATCACTATGTATCATACCTGAGATGTAAAATATATATATATATGAAATGTAAAAATAAAACAGAAAACAAAACATAAAAAACAAAAAATGTTCCTGTATTTTAAAAAAAGTGACAACAAACTGCATGAATTTGCATGATACAAAATGACTGTCCTTTACTATTCTTTCCCGGGATTTAAGGAAAAATGGACTAGCACCATGAGAGCAGTGACACATCTGAGTTCACTAACAGTAAAGAAGTCGTTCACTTCACTGGCCTGGTCATATACCGCCAATGAGACAACACTAGCTGTGTCTCCATTAAAAAAACACATTGTTAAGAGGTCAGTTAGGGTGTCTAACTTTTATATACACACTGGGAAAGTTATAACAGAAGTCCAAAATAAAGTTAAAAAAACACATAAAATACATTGTATATAAAAGAACAAAAAAACAACCATTTTTAAATTATTCAATACAAGATAAATGTCTCTGTAAACAAACTTTACGTCTCTGTGAGAAAAGCCTGGAGACGCTTGTGTCCTCTCAAATTCATAAAAAACAAAGTCACTCAACTTGAAGGAAACTTCCCCAAAAATGAGAGGAAAAGGGGCATCTTCAGAAATTGGAAAAACAGATGTTCCAGCTGTCCTCTTGATGTCCAGGCTTTGGACCCAAGTTTCTGTCCTGGACCTGTGAGTCCCTGCAGAACAGCACAGCTAAATAACATATCTAGCTAAAACACACAGGTCCAATAGTGATGCCAAACGGGTGTGTGAAGTTTCCACCTTCCATCACGGCCACGTCTCTCAGTGGGAGCAGCTGCAGGTCCTCAAACTCAAACACAGACTCCCGCGGTCCGGAAGGGCTCCCCTCTCCAGGCTGATGCACAGGAAACAGAAAACATATTCTTTACATTGAATCCCTGTGACTCATCAGTTCCTTTATGGAAATATATTTTCTTTCAGTTTTGTATCAACCATGGCTTCAACTACCTACTTTCCCTCTTTTTCCAGGAGAGCAGATACTTTTCCTGTGTTTCCATCCAAGATTTTCAAGGCTCACTCCAATAATGATACCTTGACCTTGAAATGATAGCTTTCCTAGTCAATTTACACCAGCTCCTTGGATGTTAAGTTCTTCAATCCAATGTTAAAGAAACAATGAGCTCTACACTTCTAAGTAATCACTAGAATTGGCCCCGACACAGCAAGCCAGCAGTCGGACATCTGCCAATGTCAGGCAATCTGTTAGCACTGATGGCTCTCATTTTCAGATGTTCTTTGGTACAACATTTGGCACCGATATGGAGTTTTTTGGACAATTGAGCAAAATTAATCAATCTGATTGGCTGTTAAGCTTAATGACGAGGTGTGTGAGAGCAGGGAAATGCACCCTTATAACAACATGTTGTTTGATAAGCAGGATTCTTTTTATGAAATCCTCTGCGTGGTTCAAAACTGTAGTTAGAAGCTGCTTTATCATGACAACCTATCTGCAGTCAAATGATTTCCAAGTTTCCCTTTTAGAATGATAAATACGATCTATCGCTACCTGCTGGTAAGGAGAGTTATGTCCTCTAAAGCAGGCGCAGGACTTTCAGCTAGCTTTCAACTAAAGTCTTCAGGTTGTATTCGGAGTCAACCTTTCTGCCAAGACAAGAAATGTTAAGTTTTTAACTTGAACACCACTTATTCTTTGATGTCTGCTTGGTGTATCTGTGGTTTAAAGGCTTAACCTTGTGCAAACACTGTTTATTCCTTAAAGATACGAGAAGATTTACTTTGAAGAAGTTTCAATGGGTTAAATGTTTCAGACAATTCCTTTGCCAGCCAAGATTATACCTCTACAAAAATGATCACAACAACAGCAGCAGCATGACCCCTACTCCCTTTATCTGCTAAAGAGAAACTATGAAGAAAACTTTCTACATACCACACAATCTTTAAGTGCGCCGAGGTAACTTTGCTTCCTTGTGTCAGTGAGGAATTTGATGTCTCGATCCGTCCCGCCCAGTCTGTGTCCTGGATGGCAGGAGTAAGTCACCTTCTGGACGGCAGAGCGACTGTGCAGCCTCAGGAAACGCATCTGGACCACATTAGCACCGGGATAGAAAAACTAATAACAAAATGAGAAAGTCATGTATCAGCTGCTTCGTGATGATTCAGATTTACAACAAATAAAAAAGGAATAAAAAGGGTGTCTTAAAGTTATGAATGTTTTTTAGCTTAATGTTTTAATGGTACATTTACAGTCTCAGTATGTTAGGGATATATGTGCTGCAGATTTCTTCTGCTCCTAAACGTCTAATGAAAGCTCTTGTGATTAATATTCTACATCTAAGTTTGAGATAACATCTAATATGTGGGTTTAACATCTGTTTTTGTTGCTCCTTTCAGAACGATGGCTCACCTGAAACCCTTGCTCCAGCCTGCTGAGCC